TTGGAAAGTACTAGCGGCAAAATTATAGGGCACATTTTGACTACTTTGTTCTCTGTCTGTAAAACCCATAAATTTAATCCTCAAAAGAGTAATTCATCATGCCTGCTGCTTATTGATTTTGGTATATCTGCCAGGCCGAGTGGTTCTGATTGCTTAGAACTAAGAGAGAAGAATCCAAATTAGCTTATTATTGAGATAGCTTTTAAAAAAATTGTTAGAAAAATAGCAAAGTCCACATGGATTAGGAAAATATACTAGATGCTCATTATGATGTGATATATATTAACCTCCTGTTCATCAAGTTTTATCATATGTAACAGATTAGACAATAGGATTCGCAATGTCTGCTTCAACTATTTAGCAAAAATAATTCCCCCCTCCTCCCAATAAAATAAGAAACAACAGACACCTATTACCAGTTCTTCTATAAACATAATAATTTTATTTAATGGATCTAAAGGTGATATATGTTCGAGAATCAGACTGTTTGAAAATTATTGTCATTTGCAACTCTTCAAGCTATAAATCTGTTAAAAGAAGTCTCAATGAGGGATTTTACAGTGCCTTCTTGGCAGCGGTAGTTTTTGTAAAATATAGGCACAATTACCGCGAACTCTCCCTGTGTAAGAGCTCCATAGAAATTAAATGGTAGTTGCATCATGGTTAATGTCTACCCTATTCTTGTACCAGCTATGTTATTGCACAACTCCCATTCATTTTAATGGAGCATTAAAGCTGGTATCCCTAGTGAGCTATTTCACAGTTCTCATTCACACAATGTGGACACTCTTCCACTTTAGTGACTATGTATTGGTTTTGCAATGTTCTAAGTGATTCGTTTTTTGGATTTTTATGCACACAGATTTAGGACTAACATTGAACAATACATTTTAAATATACACTGGGATCATTTGAAAGGAAAAAGTCTGTGTTAAATGGGAACAACATTTGTGTTTGATGTCATCTTTGAGTAATAGTTGTTGAAGAAGTAAGCATACACACATTCCCATTCAATTTTCATTGTTTGTGGCTTGGCAGAACTACCCCAACTTTCAAACAGGAGATATTGGCCAATGGGCAGGGGTCATGGGAAGGCGTTATTGGTCCGATGTGGGTGGTACACAGCCTGAAGAGCACCTATAAATAAACTTTATTTATATTCTGCCCTACCTCCCCTGAGAGACTCAGGGAAGATTCCAACAAACAAAAAAGGCAAACATTCAATGCCTCAATAACAGCTAAATACAAATATGATAACCCAAAATAACCCCACATATTATTACGATAGGTTGCTGTTTTTAATTGTAGCAGAAAGCCTTATATGGTTCTGGCCCAGCTTACCTGTCCAAACGTATCTCCCTCTACATCCTGCCTCGTAGCTTAAGATATGTCACCTATGGACCCACCACAGTCACCTACGGACTCACCGCCAGCACACTGACCCTGGAAGACTATCCTACTCGGACAATGAGGGATCGCCTAAGAAGGAGATGCTTAAGATAGTCCAGGGAGCCCCTGCTCTCAGTCCCGCCAACCTCGCAAGTGCGCTTGGTGGGGACGAGGGACAGGGCCTTCTCGGCAGTGGCCCCATGCCTGTGGAACTCGCTCCCCAGCGAAATCAGACATTTCTTTTAGGAAGCAGGTTAAATCATGGCACTGAAATCAGGCCTTTGGTCAACAAGCATGATGGCACCTTGGATGTTAAACCCGACTGAAATTAGCTATATGGTTGATGACAATGTTTTTAATGTGTTTTAACCTAATGTTTTATTTACTGTTTTAAATTCTTGCTATATGTGTGTATATTGTATTACATTGTGACTTTGAATTTTGGCTGATTTGTAAGCCGCCCTTAGGTCACCCCCCGGGGGTGGGGGGGGGGGTTGAGAAGCGTGGGATAGAAATATTGGAAATAAATAAATAAATAAATAGAATTCTTGTTGACTTTTGCATGCCAAATATTGGGAGCCACCAATTTATCCTTTGCCTCAGGCACAAAAAAATGTTCTTAGTTAACTCTGCGTTATTGGTTGGGTTTACTAAAGTCAGACTTTAAAATGTGGCCATGTAAGCTTCACTTGTTCTCAGTGATGATTCCTAGACTAAATGGGTAGGTTGCCATTTTTCATAGTCAAAAGAAGCCTTACTTTCAATCCACGGATAACCTGCACTTGTGCTGCTCTCAATCCCACCAATGCTTTTTTTCTGTTGAGTACAAGCTATGCAGCGGCCACATAAAATATTTAGATACTAAAGCATTAGAATTACTTCTCAGCCCTACCAGTTTTGTCCTTTAATTTTTTCCCCCACTCCTATTACTGCATCCATGCAAATGGTGTAGCTACTAATAACGGATGTGCCAAACTAGTAAAGATGTTGCTTCAGTAGTAATTGCATGTAGTGGCTGAAGGTCAAGCTTGAGAAGCCATTATTAAAATATAATATGCACTTTAAAGAACACTGGGATTTTTCAAACTCATTAATTTATTTTCCCTTACTGGAGTCCCTTCCCTACTGTTGTTTGCAATTATGGAATTACTTTGAGACCAGTGATTAAATATTTGGTAATGCAGTGTTGCCAACTGACCCAGGCTTGAAAAATAGGCACATATAATTAACACGCCTTCTTTTGCATTCTCCCCCTGCCACTCAATATCACTTTGTTCTTACATTTATCCAACCCTCCTGCAGCTCATAGCAGTTTTGCTGCCCTAAGGTCCTTCCCCTCTTGGTATCCCTCATATCTCTCTTCATTTATTTCCCTGAGCCACACCAAAAGGGTCAACTAACCTCCATATACCATCCCTGTTCTCTTGTTCTGACATGCAGAAGGAAATGGATAGCTGTCCCTTAGGGCATGCACAGTCCTTATGAGAAACATTTCTCTTGACCTTAACAGATTATTCAGCCAACCATAAAAATGCAAGAGGAGTGGGAATCTTGGGATGTTCCTTTTAAAAGGATCACACTTTAAAAAATATTTTCATTAAAAAGTAAAAAAATCATCATACAACAATAAAATGAGCAAACAAATTATAAGGTTATATTTTTAAAGAAAATACTGCTTACCTACCTTCTAATACTACTACGGTACTGCTAAATAGCTACTACAAATAGCTACTACAAATAACAAAACAAAAACCCCCACAAGAATAAAACAAATATACAGACATACAAACTAAATGTTCACACAAAAACAAAACCAACTATCAAACAGAAACACGAATTTACAGACCATTCACTGTCACAGCTAGTCCATTTCTTTTTAGTAATATTGCATAATCACATTTCTACATTTAATAACACACTGCTAGTTCATAAATCCCACAATTAATGAATACCACCCTTATTGTTACAGCATATTAATCAATACATTCAGATTTCTCTTGAAATTGGACAGACTACCTCAGCCTACTCAATTTGCCTATTGCAGTTAATTCATGATTTTTTGTAAGTCATTATCATCTTTCAACTACTGTTTTCCATAGTTTGTCCTTCTGTCTTTCACTTCCCTTTTGATGTGTACCATTTTTCTTCAGTGCTTCTCAATGCAGATTTTCTGATTGGCTTCATACAAAACCTGTTGATAGATCTCATTGATCTATTTGTTAAAGTCTTTATGTAGAACTCCAAAGGAGTTTTCTCCATTATTTCTACCAGCTTCTGGATACAGAATTCCATTTCCATCAATTTCTGGGTTGCTTGAATTGGCTCTCCAGGCCCCTTCTACACTGCCCAATTTCCCAGGATTTGATCCCAGGTTATCTTCTTTTCCCAGATTATATGACAGTGGAGATTTATATAATCCAGTTCAAAGCAAATAATCTGGGATCAGATTCTGGGATAAAGGGCAGCATAGATCCAGCTCCAGTAAGTTTTGCCAAAGAATTATGCATTTATTTCATTTCTACTGCTATTTTTTTATCATCAGTTGCTTTGTCTTGGCAGCTGGAGGCTAGTTAGAGGTCAGGAAAGGGACATCATCAGAGGGAGAAACTGGGTCTTGTGAAAGTTTCCCACTTGGCTGGATGGGTGTCTCCACTGATCCAAAAATATCTGCTGATTATCTGCAGGTCGTGACTTCTCTTATGAGAGCTTACTAAGGGAGAAGCCAATATTTCGCCATCTTGGAGGCTAACTAGATTATTTTAAAATAATGGGTTTAAAGCATTTATTGATGGATTGTATATGTATTGGTTTTATAATGTCTTGTTTTTTGGGTGAAATTTTATGAAAGTATTGTTATTGTTTTTGCACAGTGTATTTTGCAGGGGAATAAAACTCTATGTAAAATTTGGAACAACTGTCCCAACAGGTATAATCTGCCATGGCAATTGTCATCCCCACCCCCCCACCCCCAGCGTATTTTCATGTGATTAACCAGTCTTTCTTGCTAAACATGAGAAAATATGCCAGTATTCTTTATACCCTTGTTTTTTTAGATTGGAAAAGGTTTGGCTCTAGCAGATCTTAATTTTTTCATTGCCCCATCCCATCTCTGCTCTTTCTTTGGCTTTTCTGCCAGCAGATCTCAGTCAAAAGAGCAGTTCTGCTGGCAGATTGCTCCAACAGAATGTCTGTGGGCAGAAAAGGGTTACAACAGCATTGAAGCTAACAGGAACTTGTGTCTAAGCCTAATTTTCCTAGAGTCACCACTTCTTTGAATTAGGACCACACTTCTTAATGAAAATTCATTGAAGTACACATTTATGGAACCATATATTTTCAGAAGCATCTACCACCAATTGGTATTTTGAAATCCTGGTTACCACTGGAATGCTTACACGAAACCCCCGTAGTCACAGTGGCATCCACATACAATTACAATATGTTCATATATTTGCTTGTGAAAATAAGGTTCTTGTACTGAAAATATCAGAAGATGCTCCCCCCCCCAATTCAGAGCTCTCTAAAAATGTCAAAACACATACAGAACATTTATTATGCTGAAAAGCTCATAGTTCTAGTTTAATTCTCTCAATTTTCTTTCCTATTTACAGCGCAAGACAATCATGGTGGTTGGCTTTATAGCAGCATTTCTACTCCTGATCATTGCCCGCCTTACCAATGAAGTCAACTTTCCTCTGATACTCAGCTGCTTTGGACAAGCTAGTGTCAAATTGATGCCATTTTCTTATACACAAAGACGCCCTCTAAGAACACACTATGGATATATTAATGTGAAAACGGAAGAGGTAAGAATTTGTACTCTTTCATAAAGCAAATATAGTATCAGTAGAGATTATTCACATATTTTAAAACTGTGTTGCAAACATGGTTAGTTTGACTTGTCCTGTGGCAATAATGCTAACTAGCTAGTAATATGAGATAATTATTAATCTGATGATTACATAGATTGTTACCTCTCTTTTACGAGGTGCAAAGCCAGTAGTGGCAGTATAAATTGATCTTGCGGGTGTTTTCAATCTCACAGATACCACCAAGGATCTCATGCATGCTTAAGTAAGAATATCTATACCTTCAGTTGTCTTCAGATATCAAAAACAGGACATGTGAAAAAACAACAGAACATGTGAAAAAACAACTATAAATAAAGAGCGAAGGCATTTTGGAAGGTTAAAAAAGTAAATTTTGAGTTTTAGCTTTGTAGGTATATTGATATAGTCAACTAAGCTTGTGAAAATGACCTTGTGGTTATATCTAACTATAGGGAAATTTCTGCTAAAAGAAAATTGTTATTGCAAACAGCAAAAGTCTTATAGACAGTCACCTGGCATCATTCACATTTCTTGAATTTCCTAGTGACACCACTGCTTCTCTCTATCGAAAAACAACTCACAATAAAGTATAGTTCAAACTGTTCTCATTCATGATTGATGGGAAGTGCAGAAGACAAAGGATATATAGTTTATTAGTCAACTTTGATCAAAGCTCTTTATTATATTCTGTGGACCAGGGCCAATTTCTCCTTCCAGATTCCTGCAATCAGCAGCTCTTCGTACATGTATCTTCAAGTCATCTGTCAACTTAGGGTGACCCCATGAATTTTTTAGAAGGCTCTTAGGTAAGGATCACTCAGAGGCCATTTTGCCAGTTCCTTCCTCTGAAATATAGCCTACACTGAAACATTTTTTTTCTCTCTTATGACCTCAAAGTAATTTATTTTGCCATTTTTGGAGTGGGAAAGGGAAGAAAGTTATTGAATGGGATTCTGAGAGGTTGGAGAGGTTTGATCAGCACATTTGTTTTGTGTTGGGGACTTAGAGCATATTTGAGAAGATTGTTGCTCCAAATTGTGTCAAAATGAAAATAATTTTAGAAGTTTATGGGGTGCTTTGGGTTTGTAGTGGCTGCACTTTCATCTCTGCCTTTTGAGGGTCAAATCAATGGATACCTCTATTCTTTGAATCAACACTTATGTAAACTCCATGGATTCAATGGATCTACTTCAGTTGGAATTAATAACTGGATTAATAACTGGATAATTTGTAGCTCAAAATTGAGGTGTTAAATGTGCAGTAATTTTTCTGATGATATAATTTTAGCATATGATACAATGTTTGAAATAAATGTACTGTGAATTATCTGTTAAAATGATAAAAATACTAATGGATTCTTTCTTGAATTAAAAACTATCTCTGTAATTTAAAAAAATCATTATTGTAAAAAAGAAAAGAAAAAATCATTCTGCCAAAGCAGAATATGTGTTGTTCTTGTTGTGTTACATGGGAACATGGGGGTTTCTAATAATGAAGTGTTAAGAAAAGTCTATGGGTTAGTAATTTTAGGACACTGGGACTAATGGGCATACCTCAGCTTACATCCTAAGTTGAGAAATAAAATTCCAATATACTACATGTTTGGGACAAATTTTTGTACTTTATCTGCTATTTTTTTGTGTGCTAGGAGTGATTTTTGTAACATAGTTAAGGTATAAAAGAAGATAATTCTATGAATACAGTTAGTTTCTTTTGTCCATCTAGGGTTTGGAGAGTGTTTTATTAATTGTCTAAATACAGAAAGTGTCTGAAGAAGTTTGATCTTTATTTATATATCAAGCTATATTTATACCCTGACTTTTAATTAAGCATAGAAAACAAGGAGTACATGGGCTTCTATTTATGTATATAAGGTACTAGATCCAGCTAAATATTGTTGTGCCGTGTGCTCTGTAGATCTGGTCTGGATCTGACAATAAGAAAGAATGCTTCTCCTTTGGCTCGGTTTACATGGCAGTTGAACGTACTTCCTTGAGTATGTTTTTTAAAAAAATCAGAAAAGGTCAATTATTTGCACAGATATGCAAAATTGAAATAAAGTCTGCACACACTTCCTTTAGAGAAGGGATAACAGAACAGAATATCATTCAAGATACTATATTTTGTAAGGTTTTTCTTAAATAAAAATACATGTGTAATTTAATTTCTTTGTTGCCTGCCCCTTTAGAAAGCACAGAATGACTAAATATCCTCTCTCTGTTCTGTAATTATATAGAATTATTTTGTATATTATGACCAGATCATTATTCTTCCCTCCCATGTCTTATTTCCTAAGCTGAACATACCCATCTCTTTCAGTCTTCCCTTGTTTTTATTGCCTTTAATTCCACTTTATCACCATATTTACTGATCTGATGATTATTCCTCCTCACACCATAATTTTCTCACTGTCTCATAAACACAAAAAATATGTGACACCCAGGTCTTCCAACAGAATGCTTCTGGAATGATTAAAGATTTGCTTTCTACCACTGTTTTCTGAGTATAGAACACCTCTAAATTACCTGTATCCCCTCTTTTCTTTTCTTTTCTTGCTTTTAGTGACATGCATTTCAATATTCAAATGACAACATTTCCCAAAATTGAGAAAACATTTGCTGTTGTTGCTGCTGCTTAGTTGTCGAAATTTGTTAAGTGGGAAAGAAGAAAAAGTCTTGAGATCATTTCACAATTTCCTTTCAATACAGTATTAGTTTTTGTATGAATTAGTGGGCCTTTTGTAAGAAATGATGAATGTTACTTTATAGAATTACCTCCAGCATTAAACCAAACAAGAACATTGAAAAGCCAAGAGAGGGAAGTAGTTGAAAGAGGCCTAACTCAATAGAGTCAAACTTATATGTACAGATTTTGTATCCGCGGATTCAATCCTCCATGTCTTGAAAACATTTCTAAAAAATTAATCCAAAGCAAACTTTGATGGTGCCATTTTATAAAAGGAACACCATTTTACTATACTATTGTATATAATGGTATTTTAGTATCCACGGATGCTGGTATTCAAAGGATTCTTGGAGCCAAACACTAGTGGATACCAAGGGCCTACTGTAATTCAAATTGTTGGCTTGTGGCTGCAATGGAAAATAGGGGCAGACTGAGAATGGTGAAGACAACACTTAATGTGCTTCCCTCAGAAATATCTGTCTCGCTGCTGTAGAAAGCACAGAGCATAGACTTGGATACAGTTAACAGCAATGAGAGATGTCTGGGGAAAAATGACACTGGGCATTTGTTCTTTCCAGCAAGGATCCTTTTTTGTGTTTCTTTGTTCTTCAGTCCACACATATCCTCGTGACAATGGCTTGGTGAAAAGACTACATCATCATATCATATGAGACCTCTCTTTACCTCCTTCACCATCAATTAAACAGTGATCATTGTGGCAGGAAGGTCTGCTTCAATTCACCCAGCATCTTCAAGCTATGTTGGTTTTTAGACATAGCCTTTTTATGATCGAGCTGGGAATACTAATGTCTTTCTTTAACAACAGAATCTCTTAATTCAGAGATGCTTAATAAATAACTGTGGAACACTTAGTACTTCCCCAGATATTGTATATCTCACATGAGATGTATGTAGCACTTAAGAGAGTGCAATTTAGTGGCACTCTGAGGTGCTGATTTATAGAATACAATGCAATGAATCAATATCTGTATTTTAAAGCTATTTGGTCATTTTCTCTTTAGTTAAGAGAGGCTGATGTCAGCAGAATGGTTTGATAATCTTAGAATAGGTCTAGGGATCAAGTCAGTTGAAGTTAAGAAGATTCCTATGGGCCCTGGTTTGGAAGGGTTTTATTTTATTTTTTTTAAAAAAAGATAAAATATTATATCCATGGTATGAGTTATAGTACTTTGTGGAAATCGAATAGCTGTACTTCTCCCTTTTCTGTAAAAGCATAGAGGACTATAAATTGCACCTTCCAATTATGGATATATTGGGTTACATGCAAAGTAGGAGGAATATAAAAAGCCTGGCAATTTATTTTAGATTGTGCATTGTTAGGGGTCCTGTTTGGACGTAGTATAGAAAATGGCACATGAAGCTTTCCCATATATCATGGTACCACATACGAAGGTGGTTATTCTGGCATCTGCAACACTTTTTCTATTCTTGGACATTTTTATATAAAAAATAACATAAGAGCAATAAATTAAACAACAATTTGCTGCTCTTTTTGGGACACCAAAATCTCTTGCAGTTGTCTCAGCTGGCTATAAGAAGTTATTCAGCCTCCTTGTGTTGCCCTTTGTGCTGTGTTTGCATTACTTGACAGTTTAATCTGTGCTTCCTCGATGTCTGATATGCCAAATGATACAGCAATGTCTTTGAGGGCTTTGCTATCATTGTGTTACCTTAGAAAAAAGCACAAAATAGAATAGCTTTTACTTGAGTTTCTGTGTGGTTTGGAATAGGGTCAAGATGTGATCTTAAGAGCCAGCATTGTGTTATAGTTTGAAGATTGGACTAGGGCTCAAAGACAGAGTTCAAATCCTTGCTCAGCCTTGGAAATCCACAAAGACTCCATATACACTGACCATTTAATGCAGTTTAATACCAGTACTGAAGTGGTTTCGCTGTGCAGATAATTACATGGAAACTTCTGGAGCCAATTTGAGGTCCACATGGTCACGACACAAACCACAGAGCACTGATGCACATTAAGGACTTTCTTTCAAACATTTCTGTGAGAGTTTGTTGTCTGGCTTCAAGTTTCAAACTGCATCAAATGGTCATTGTAGATACTACCCAACAGAACTTTGGCAAACTGCACTGAAAGCACCTTGCCAAGAAAACCTCAGGATAGTATTGCGAAGCTGGACTCAACTTGAATACATATAACTACAACAACAGGAAACAAAAAAGTTGGGAACAGACAAAATGCATGAAAAATGGACTCATCTGCTCCCATTCCATTAAACTTTTTTAAAAAATTAAAATTTAATTCTAACAGA